TGTGTGTGTGTGTGTGGCACTGATATAATCTGCTCATCATTACCCCTGACAACCAGCTCTCTGCAACACCACATAGCCATTAAAGACCAGTTTTTGACTGATATCATGAATATGCACACATACAGTCAAAGCACACAGTTGTGAGGCTGTTCACATAGCTCAGTGCTAACCGGGTGCAGGAATATGGTCAGTTTAACACAGCTGATAGAAAACCTCTGATATATAGTTAGCACTTCACAACACACTTTGAGACGTAGAGAGTGCTTTAGATGTGGTTTAAGGAGAGGTAGTCATTTTTAATTCAATGGAAAGTGAAACGTCTCTCTGTTTTTGGGCTCAAGCGGATGTGTTAGGGAGTACGGATCGCCAAATAGCTTCTTTTTTTTCTTTTTTTGTCAGTTATACAGTAAGTGTAATAACAATTTTGGCATTCATTATTATCATCCAGGAAGAATGGAGGAAAAAAAATATTTAAGAGAGTTTAGTCTCCCATTGGCTATATGTGTTGAACTATTTTGAAAAGGAGGTAGTGTTATTTTTGGTTTTTATCTTGTTTCAAGATGCCTGTCTGCCACTTTGTACTTTGTTAGAAATCAGTCTCTAATGTGACAGGAAACAGTCCTGTTTGAACACAAAGTTATCAGAAAGGTTCTTTCATTAAATAAGAAAAATTGTCTGAAGTGCAAGAGATAGTTTGAGAAAAAGTATGAAAATATGAACCCAACTTTTAATTACATGATGTCCCTTGGTTGTTTTCCTCTTACATTGATATATTCTTATTATGTTTAGTTGTTCCCTCTTTAGTGTAATATATATGTTTTTGGAATAACTCCTCCCTGTCCAAAGCTGTGAGTTTTGTAACCACATTACAGTACACTTCCTCTTCCTGCAAATATTAGATACAGACCAAGAGGGTATTTTTGTTTCCTAGATTGAAAATTTTAAATTTCCACAGCACCAAAGTATCATATAAAGCCAAGTTGATTTGACGGAACCAAATATTTTAATTCTGAATTTGACCTTTCTTTTTGTTGGAATGTCCGGCTGTAAATTTAAATATATGTTGTGTTCAAATGTCTCACGAGTGCCTAATTTTCGGGCCTGCTCATACGGTAGTGGGGCCAGTCCTAGGATTGTGTTTGGAACACAGTTCAGCCTGAGCGTGGCAGAGACAGGGTTTCACCTATAAGTGCTTTTGTCTTTTTTTGTTTTTCAGAGGAACTGTGCGAGGTTTGTTAATACTAGTTTTTGGCCTCATACCTATTGTAAGTCATTTGTAACTGCTTCTCATGTAAAAGCTTTGATGTCTTCAAATTCTGGTTTGCTTTAAACACTTTGGTTTTTGGAATGGTCAGCACTGTAAATCATGTATAAGTTTAACACAATAGTTATATGAATACAATAACAAGAATTCAAACTCCTGGTTTGTTGTCTTTTGGCCAATTCTCTAAGAAGAAGAAAAAGAAACTCAAAAAGGGCAAAATAAACTACAGGGTTTTTGGTTTTCTACATATTTCTTTGGTTACCTGTAACAAAAATAAGATGGGAATAAGCAGATAATAGATTAAAATAAATGTTAAATTTGGTATGGCACCGTAGAGAAAAGTAATGCTTTTATGCTCACGGAAAACAAACAAAAAAATAAATCTCACATGCTATTTCTTTAACACAAACTCACACAGTGAATTGCAGATAGCTTCTACACAGTAACTATTACAACCATAGAGCTTTGAATCGAAGCTGAGCAGAGTCGCCACATTTGGTGTCCCACAGAAAGAATTCCCCCTTATTTGTTTATCAATTTGGACACAGTTCCAGGCAGAACCTTTGTGGGATGAGGTATTCTCTGACTGCAGTAATAATATATATATTTTTAAAGCATTACTGATATTTCTCAACTAAATACACAACCGAAAACAAGTGAATGAAAGAGAATAAAAAGACAAAACAAGGTTCAGCTGTTAAATAATCTGTCTGGATAATGGCAACTTTAAGTGCTATTTCCAAATTTCTTGCCTGCTACACTTGGGGCAGAAAGGGAAAGGGACAGGAGTGGGGTTCGGGTATCACAAGTTGGGACAATACTGCGCTTTCTTCTTTTTTTTTTTTTTGCCAATACTCATTTGGAATGGTGTGAACAGCCAGAGTAAATCAAACAAATTACAATACAAAAACAAAAACAGCATCCTTAGAAAAGGTACGTCGAAACAGAACGCCACCGTGGAAATATTGATCCTCAAAAATAAACAATGATAATAACATCAAATAAAAAAGGAAATGACAAAAGCTACCACACATTTTTTTTCTTGTTATATTCCATAATCATCAACAGTTTTCTTTTTTAGTCACAATATTTCTGTAGACGCTTCCTCCCTCATTTCTCTCTGCTTCCCCTCTTTTCTTCTCGTTCTCAAAGTGTTCCAAGCTCCCTCCCTCCATCCATGTACGGAGGAGAGGAGAAGGACAGCACCAAATGGTCCTATTCCTGCAGTCTTTTTGGGATGGGAAGGATGGGAAAGGATAAAGGTGGGTGTAGGAAAATGTCTTCTTTTTTTCTCACTTAGAAGCAAAGAGTTTAAAACATGTCTGTCACTAAGTGTCTTGCTGGGGGGGCAAAAGTTTGGACAGGGACCAGGGCCACCTCTGTCAGGTCAGCCTCGCCGTGGGCTCACTTCTCTGCAGAGGTGTTGGAGCACTGTTGGAGGTAATCTTTGAAAGCACTCTTCCTTCTTTCCCATCTTAAAGCCAAACAGTTTCATTTCAATCAAATCAAAGAAAATGAAAAAGCAAGTGATCGACTCAAAGAGGGGGAAGAAGGAGAGGTATACTGCACAGCCCCTGGTGACTGCCCCAAATCTATATACACATGATCCTGTGTGTGTCTTTCTCTTTCTGACACACACCTGTGTGTCTTCTCCATTGACGTAGAGATAAAAACGGCTAGCCAGGCAGCCTGAGACAACAGTGAAGAGGGTGTATGCAGAGTGGTGAGGCGAGGAGGAGAGTGTGTGTCCAAACCTCTAAGGTCTCTACACTGAGGCTGGTTTGACCAGGTAGGAGGATGAAACATGGTTTTCTGTGAATAAGTGTGTTTGTTTGTTTGTGTGTGTGTGTGTGCGTGTGTGTGTGTGTATTTGTGTGAGTGTGTATGCATTGAGTGGTGTTACACCTCTGAGCCATGTGTTGGAAAAGAAACACATGGAGGTAAAGCAGTGCTCCACAGTCTTGTTTTTGCGTCTGAAAGTAACGGAGGTCATCTAACCCTGTTTGGAGTTTCTCAATGTCGTCCTTGGTTGCTTGCATTTTCTTAAAAACAAAACAAAAAAAAACATTCTCTTTTTTTCTCTCTTTTCTTTTAAGTGTACTGTAGCGATCTTTTCCTCTTCACGCTGACGAGAGGGCTCAGGGACTGATCTCGCTATGTTGCGTCCCTCTGCTCCATCTTGGATCGGTCCTACTCCAGCTCCTCTGTGGGGAGATCCTCCTCCAGGTCGCGCTCGTCGCTTGGCAATGGCAAGCTGTGTGTGACACCAGCCAGGAGGGATACTGGCCGACTGTCCTCCTCCACCTCAGTGGGCTCCTCCTTCACATGCACCGGGTGGCTGGAGGAGAGAGAAAGCAGCTGTTAGCAGGACGAGGAGTTATGAAGGCAGATGCCAATAGCAGAATTTCTGATGCCAAATATTTTTCATCATTTACATTCAATTACTTCACCAAAAGACATCAAAATGTATTTTTCTTCTTATCTAAAGTGTTATATAGACAGTTCTGTTTGGAAATATATGTCTGTTGCCAATTTAGTACAGTTACAGTTTAGTACAGCTCAGGATACTGAAGCATTTAAACCCAACAATATCGTGTGGTATGGTTTCAGTTGTACCTTATGCATTTTTGAATTTTTGCAATATAATTTAATTAAAAGCAAAACTGGCATTCTAGATAATAGTAATAGTAAAATATTTTTTGTTATATTTTGGGTAAACTGGCTGTTTTATAATCTGAAATGTAACCATTAGTTGTAAATTGTATTTGTTTCTCAAGTTTTATTTCTGTATTTTGAGTGTTATAGCCTCAGAGAAAAGTGCTTATATATATAATAGGACTTATAGTCACTCTTCATTCTCTTACACTAAACTAAAATGATTTCTTTTGTCAGCCATCTTCTATAAAAATAGTAATATTACTATCACTATCGCCATCACACATTCCACTGACCTGCTAGTCTTAGTCTAACATGCTGGCCCATGTGAACACGGTAGATGTAAAAAGGCTCAGTGAAGGGGAATAATTTTAAAGCTAAAGTTTGTGTTTTCTGCTTGCACCTTTACATTTATGCGTGTGCACGTGTGTCCATGCCTACCTGTACTGTTGAGGGCTGAGCGTGGGGCTGCAGCTCCCGTTACTGTTGACCTGCTCCACAGTGGAGCTGACATCATCGTGGCCCACATGCAGCATGTTGAGGCTGGCCGCAGACGGAGGGGTCAGCAGGGAAGGGCTGTTCAGCAGGGACAGACTGCTTTCTGCCAGAGCTGCCTGCACACACACACACACACACACACACACACAGAGTTGTGTTGTCACTTTAAATAGAAGCTGGGTTACATTAATGTTTCTTTTCCTTCTAAAAAAAAATTATTAGAATTAAAAAAGTTCAATAATAAAAGGGGTATGTGACATAATAAATAATAAAATGCTGGCTGGAAATGATCTGTTAAACACAACCAATATATAATATTATAATAAATTTAAACTGCAATGCTCAAAGTTTTGTAAGTTAAATTCACACAAAACTAGATTGCCACAGTGAATGACATAGTGATGAGAGCTCTTCCATATTGAGCATATTTCAATCAACTAACTTGCAAGTGAACTTGACAAACCACTAGGGGGCACTTATATACAGTATTTTCCCCATCATGGCCTGTGCTTGTACATTAAAGTCCCTGTCATAAAGTGTGTGTGTGTTCACATTAAAGACTCAACAGGGAATGTTTAGCGAGCCGCAACCTCAACTTCAACACACACACAAACACTGTGAAACATCAATGTCTGCAAAAGAGACAACAACTGAACCAACAGCTTCTGTCACAGCTCCAAACTCTCACATCCAGCTTTATAGATGAGACAGGTTGGACACTGGTGAGTGAGAGTCTCACCCCACCTCCCCTCTCACACAGGGAAAAAAAAGACAAAAGGAGGGGAATTCTCACAGGCTCAGAAATGGATTTTCTGGGACAGGCGATAATTTTATGCGGTAACCTTAATTGACAACTACTTGACGCTATAAATCATCTCAGTCGCAAAATTGTGTATGTGTGTTTGTGTGTGAGCAGACATGGGGTGGCTCATGTGTGAGAAAGTGAGGTGGGAGGTGAGAGTGTGTGTTGGTGTGGGAGGAGGAGGAGGTGTGAACGTCGTTAGGGAATCTGCTAATTATAAGAGGGAATTGATATTAGTGCCCTTGATTGCGATTGGCTGTGTGTGTGTGTGTGTGTGTGGCTGTGGTGTGTTTCCGAGGGTCACAGAGAGCCACAGAGAGAGAGAGAGACGAGGAGTAAAGAGAAAATGAGAGAACGAATGTAAGACATTATTTGGAGAGGGACAAGACAGCAGAGGTTTTACTGGAGCTGTGCGATTCACGATTTCTCACTAGCCCAGGGCTTGACAGTCATATTGATTTCTTTTAACGAGTCAGGCGCTATTTTCTTGATATCCAGTCACAGATCTACTACACAAAGTCAAGATATTCGACGTGCGGCGCGAGGGGTGCACGGCGCGACGGGCTTCACATCCACCAGGTCGAACACCATAATGTGAAAAGATGTCAACCCTCGAGCAAAGCACTTTACAAATGCTCAGCAAAGCCATACACTTTGGTCTTGGCCTTCACAAAGTTGAGACAACAAATCATTACAACAAAGCATCAACAGAATTTCTGCTCATATAACAAAGCACAAGGCTATATTACTCGACAAACGATGCATAAAATTAACCTCCTCAGTTCATGACCCAGTGTGTAGGTGTGGGCGCGGGAGGTACGGGAAAATCATATCTACGGAATTCCCTCTCTGACAGTCTGTCTGCCGAGTAGAATACATCTCGTCGTGTTTACACATAATCTTGGAGAAGCTATTCTTGGCTTTTGGTCAGACAGTCTCACCCCGAGTGCGGTCAAGCTTTCAAAGCGCAGGCACACATCAACTCAAACTCCAAATATATATGAAAAAAAAATCTGGTCTTGCCTGGTAAAGATACAGTGACAGGTGATTGGATCAGTTTGCAGGACAACAAGGCGATTACTATTTCTCTCTGCATCTCAAACAACCAAACATCACTACGAGCTTTGCCTGGCACCTCGCAATATGTCCGTGACCCATGCGAGGCCCGAGCGGTCGGAGAGAAACCCACCACCATACGCCACCGTAAAGCCCAACCAACAGCCTGGACCCTTTGCCTGTTTGATGTCCTCTCAGTTGCCTCGAGAAGGAAGTGGCCTCCTTGTGTGAAAGATATATCTCAACTGGAGAGGCGGAGCGCGACTTTAGTGCTAAGCGGTCGAACACAACAATTGCCAGCGATTCCAGTAGCACACACGTCTCACACAACCTCAACTATAGCGTTCTACAACGCGTCAGGAGCTGCCACACCTGAAGCAGAGAACTAAACGTCTGTGTCTACTTATCTGGTTTGCTGCTGTGATCACCACCTGTGGGGGTAGTTGTGGAGGGTAGTGATGTCAATAGGGTGGATCGGAGTCGTGATAAGGAAGGACGTGGTAGGCGCACCTCACCTTACCACACGAGGGACAGTGCCGGAAGTCAACGGCGCATCCATGGAGCGGTCTACACGTCCGTTTGTAGCTCCATCAACATCTATCACATACCACGAGTCCTCCCAACACGCCAAAACCATACCGTGTCCCATCATTCTCCGACAAAGAAAACACGGAATAACATCAAACACCTGTGCAGCACTCAGGTTGTGCGCGCGCACAGACATTCTGGCCAGGCTCTTCTGCAACTCTGCCCCCAGCCACACGACGTTTACTGGTCCACCAGAACCTGAGGGCACACAGAACAAACCAGGGCAAACCACAGCGCGTCCTGCAAACAACAAGAGCTATTCTGCGTAGAACTGAACAAGCCTGTTTAAAGACGACAAGTTTTAACCAAAATAAAAAAAGAGAGAGTATAGAGGACAGAATGGGACCGCACTCTCTCTATGTAACATGACTTAAACGAAGTAAAAGATGCAAACATATTTTTACTCATTCGAGATGAGAAATTAATGTCTACCTTTCTAAAGTATTAAGTTCATAACTTCCTTTACTTGTTGTGATACATTTCATTCCTTTTCTATTCCTAATATTCCATAGTGACTTCCACAGAGACGACACCATAATAAACAACTTAACATGAAGCGAGCATTACAGACACATACCTTTATCTAATCTGTCCAATAGTGACACATCAAGTTTTATACCCATTACATTATTTTTTGATGCCTTCGATGTCTCCTGTGTTATTACAGAAATTCTAACACATCTTAAATTTGCATTGGAGTTATTTGCTATCTCACGAACCAGTTCCAATCAAGTGAGCGAGCCGATATAATTATAAGTACTGTCCTTGCATAGAAATGAGATTATCACCGCGATTACTAGCACCTTAGAACCTGAATACTGCGTCATTCTTGTTGTTCCTACTCATACAATGAAGGCAGCTTATCTATCCAGAGAGACTGGGGAAAGGCAAATCGTACACTCATTTGAAGGTGTGTTCAGTATCAAAACAAATAGACTTGCAGCGTTGAGTGAGTTAATCGTTAGGCTTCACTTTTGTATTAAGGTACTGTGGACTGTTGTGGGTGGTGTGTGTGACAGTGGTGTGTGTGTGTGTGTGTGTGTGTGTTTGGAGGGGCTAACAGGGAGAGAGGAGGAGAGAGAGAGAGAGAGAGGAGAGAACTAGAGAGAATGGCTAAGGAGAGGCATTCCTTACCTGGCTAGCTGGCGGTTTAGGGATCCAAACCCAGCTTCTTAAATATTTTTTTCACCAGATGGACTCTTGCATACACACACATACAACAACAAAGAAG